CCTTTGTCGAAAATTGGCTGTCCATATATGTGTGGTTTTATTTCTGGGCTTTCAATTCTGTTCCATTGATCTGTGTGTCTGTTTTTGTACCAGTACCGTGCTATTTTGATTACTACTGCTTTGTAGTATGTCTTGAAGTCAGGGATTGTGATGCCTCCAGCTTTGTTCTTTTTTCTTAGGATTGCTTTAGCTATTCAGGGTCTTTTGTTGCCCCATTTGAATTTTAGTATTCTTTTTTCTATTTCCGTGAAGAATGTCATTGGGATTCTGATTGGGATTGCGTTGAATCTGTAGATTGCTTTAGGTAATATAGACATTTTAACTATGTTTATTCTTCCAATCCATGTGCATGGGATGTCTTTCCATTTCTTTATGTCATCACTGATTTTTTTCAATAATGTCTTGTAGTTTTCATTGTATAGGTCTTTCACCTTCTCAGTAAGATTTATTCCTAGATATTTTATTCTTTTTGATGCAATTGTAAATGGTGTTATCTTTTGGAGCTCTCTTTCTGTTAGTTTGTTATTAGCATACAGAAATGCAACTGATTTTTGTAGATTGATTTTGTACCCTGCGACTTTGCTGTAGTTGTTGATTATTTCTAATAGTTTTCCAATGGATTCTTTAGGGTTTTCTATATATAAAATCATGTCATCTGCAAATAGTGAGAGTTTCACTTCTTCGTTGCCTATTTGGATTCCTTTTATTCCTTTTTCTTGCCTAATTGCTCTGGCCAAAACCTCCAGCAGTATGTTGAATAAGAGTGGTGAGAGTGGGCAGCCCTTCCTTGTTCCTGTTCTCAGAGGAATGGCTTTCAGTCTTTCCCCATTGAGTATGATGTTGGCTGTGGGTTTGTCATAAATAGCCTCTATTATGTTGAGGTACTTTCCTTCTATACCCATTTTGTTGAGAATTTTTATCATAAATGGATGTTGTATCTTGTCAAATGCCTTCTCTGCATCTATTGAGATGACCATGTGGTTTTTATTCTTTGTTTTGTTGATGTGGTGTATCACATTGATTGATTTGTGGATGTTGAACCATCCCTGTGTCCCTGGTATAAATCTCACTTGATCATGGCGTATGATCTTTTTAATGTATTGCTGTATTTGGTTTGCCAATATTTTGTTGAGGATTTTTGCATCTATGTTCATCAGCGATATTGGCCTGTAGTTTTCCTTCTTTGTATTGTCTTTGTCTGGCTTTGGTGTCAGGGTGATGTTGGCCTTGTAGAATGAGTTAGGAAGTATTCCATCTTCCCTATTTTTTGAAATAGTTTGAGAAGGATGGGTATTAAATCTTCTTTGAATGTTTGGTAAAATTCACTGGAGAAGCCATCTGGTCCTGGACTTTTATTTTTTGGGAGGTTTTTGATTACTATTTCAATCTCTTTACTTGTGATTGGTCTATTCAGATTCTCCATTTTTTCTTGGTTCAGTTTTGGGAGGTTGTATGAGTCTAAGAATTTATCCATTTCTTTAATTGTCCAATTTGTTGGCATATAATTTCTCATAGTATTCTCTTATAATCCTTTGTATTTCCCTGGTATCCATTGTAATTTCTCCTCTTTCGTTTCTAATTTTATTTACTTGAGACTTTTCTCTTTTTTTCTTAGTAAATCTGGCTAAAGGTTTGTCAATTTTGTTTATCTTCTCAAAGAACAAACTCTTTGTTTCATTAATCCTTTCTACTGATTTTGGTGTCAATTTCATTTATTTCTGCTCTGATTTTTATTATTTCTCTCCTTCTGCTGACCTTGGGCTTTGTTTGTTCTTCTTTTTCTAGTTCTGTTAGGTGTAATTTAAGGTTGCTTATTTGAGCTTTTTCTTGTTTGTTAAGGTGGGCTTGTATCGCTATGAGTTTCCCTCTCAGGACCGCTTTTGTTGCATCCCATATCATTTGGTATGGCATATTTTCATTTTCATTTGTTTCCAGATATTTTTTGATTTCTTCTTTAATTTCATCAATGATCCGTTGGTTGTTCAGTAGCATGTTGTTTAATCTCTACATTTTTATCACTTTCCCAGTTTTTTTTTCATGGTTGATTTCCAGTTATGGTCTGAAAAGATGCTTGTTATGATTTCAATCTTCTTAAATTTATTGAGGCTTGCTTTGTTTCCCAACATATGGTCTATCCTTGTGAATGTTCCATGTGCACTTGAGAAGAACGTGTAGTCAGCTGTTTTTGGATGGAGTGCTCTGTATATGTCTACTAGGTCCATCTCGTCCAGTTTTTCATTTTAGTTTTCACTTTTAAAGAGAGTTAATAGAAAGTAATAATGACATACTAAACTTTTTGCAGGGCGATGGTTCATAAACATGGCATATTTCTTTGGCAGTTAAGAATGTAGATAGTTATACTTTTGTAGTAAAATGAACATGTGAATATATATCAAATATAAAGTATTCAGGTAAAATATACTTGAGTGGTATCAGTCAAATATATCAGCCTCTTTCTGCTCCATTTTCCCTAGAGTTTAAAGGAAACTGGCATACCTAAAATAAGGAAATTTACGCTCATGCAGAATTTCTTAAAAATTAACTTTTCTTGAGAATCAAAGACCTTATGCAGACAAGACAGTTGTTTTTCTATGAATAAAGGAAACTTTAGAAAAAAATTAATTCAAAAGCTTGAAACTTCACATTTATTCTAGGAATCCTATGTTTGAGCTCCTCTTCTCACCAAAATCAGTTGCTCTATTTTTCTATAGTTTTGTATTTGTATATGAAATACTACATATGTATGAATATATACTGATTGACTCTGGGTGGAAGGAAGGAAGTTCTGAATTAGAGAATTGACTGGAAATGTTCTCTGATTGGTTTCCCGGCTTAGTCTGTTCCAGAATTGACAGCACACAGGGGAAGAAGAGGCTTGAGGTAGAGCTTCTCTCACTCCCCATTGAAAACTGCCCTCTGGCTGAATAATGGAAAAAGGGAAAATGCAACTATGAGAAGAGTGGAGTCAGTTCAGGAAGATGAAGCAGAGAGAAGTTAAAATGAAGGGGAAGGACAATGGAAAAGAGAAAGAAGAAAGCACAGGAATATGGTACTCAAACTGGTGTAATTTGCTTAGAATTTCTGTAAATCCTGGAAAATTAAAACTTAGGTGTGACAGAGTTTCAGGTAGAGAATTAATTTACCTAGAGGTAGGTGTGTGACATTTTATATAGAGTTATAATTTAGATCTACCTACCTTTTCCACTCAAAATCCTCTGCACTGAAGATATTTTTAACTAGTAAATCTCTCACTCTATCTCTGCAGTGAACATAAAGGGTAAGCAAGGCCCCGAGTACCACTCTTGTCCGGGAGTTGCTGGTATCCAGCACTACCAGCTCTGCAACCTCTTGTAGACGGTGTATCAGATCAGCGTGGACTTTCTCCAGCTCTTCTCCTGAATGAGTACTCACAAAACTTGTGATACAGTCATTATCAAACATGATCTGGCTCTGAAAAAGTAAGATATAAATATGATAGTTGAAGCATAAACTTTACAAATTAAAACATGTTTTCAGGAAGTTTATGTGGTGTCTGAGCGCATTTGTGTGTGTGTAAAAGAGAGAGCTTACACATTTTTATGTATTTGAGAGTGAGAGATGGAATTTTGATTAATGCTTGTGGGGGCCTTATTCTTTAATAAATGGAAATCTATTTATCATCAATATTTATACTTTATAAATCTTGTATTCTTAATCCACCATCACTAGGCTAAGTAGTAACCTGGGGACAGTAATAATGGTAGAAAACTCCAAGATGAAATTAGTACTGTTTCATCAATTGACTCAGAAGTACTATACCTGGAATATGTTAAGTCTGTAATCATAGTTTTTAGAAACTTTCTATAACTTCTGTTATTTGATCCATTTTTTGACTCTCACTCTTCCCATGCATACCAGAGCTGTTTGAAGAAGGCTACTGGATTAATGTCAGATTGACCGGGAAGTTAATGGAGGGGGATATATCAGGAGGCCTGTAGTTGGGTAAACTGGGATTCCAGTCACTAAGAAGGAAAAGCATGTTGTAGGTGAAGGGGCATAATGAATTCATTTTGAGATATACTGAATTTGAAGTGCCTAAGGAACATGTAAGTAGAGCTGTAAAGAAAGAAAGATGAGAATAATTAGCATTGAGGTAATATGTACAATGATGAGACTTTTTTCCAGAGCAACATAAGAGGATACAGGATGGGAAACCTGACATCGGAAACACTGACATGGTCAGTGTTCTTTCCTGCATCCAACAGAAACTAACTCTGATTTCCTTAAAGGATGGTGTAGACCCACACCAGCAGATCAGCAGGAGCAAGAGATGGAGACTTGAGAAGTGGGCAGGAGCAAATGTCTGGGCCAGGCAGCAGCAACTGTAGTCAAGGTCATGCCACAGAAGAGTCCCTTCAAAAGCCACTGTACTGCTGTCCTTGAGACATTTATTCAATATCCACGGCCTCAGGAGAGAGCATCCAATGGGCTCGGTCCCCTCCCTAGGCTGTATCAGTGTAGGCTGAAGGAGGATTTGGTTCTGATAAGGTAGACTGTGAACCAGATTTTTATTTATTTATTTAGATAGATGGAGAGGAATTGTCAATTACTATAGCTTGCTTAAATCCATATTGAAATTCTCTCAGTGGCCAGTGCATGCAGACATCTCATTATCCCCATTCCTCCGTAGGCATCCACGCAGAGACAGCTCCTAGCCATGTTACATATGCAGAAGGGCAAGACAAAGGGAAGTTGTAAATTGCGTACTGGGATGGGAAATTATCAGTAGGTAGGGCAGACATGGGGAAAACTTTGGCAAAAGTATGTTCAATGATTGAAGCTGAAGTCTATCATAAAGTTATTTCTAGAAACAGAACACAGACTGCTTCTTATTGTTAAGCATGTTTGGAGGGCCAGGGATCTGGGGAAGATCTTTTCTTAATAGTGTAGATTTGATTATATGAATGCCTGGTAAACCACAGAAATGTGCAAATTGACTCATTATAATTTTTTTGCCTTTGTAAACAATAGTTTAAATAAGTGCTCGGCTTAAGATCTGAGAGTATTTTATCAGTATTCACTCAAGTGGACAACAGAGGGGACCAAGGAGATTTGATAATCATAATTTGTGTCCACAATCCCAGGTTATCTTAACAAGGACTTGAAAATTGTGGCGGGTCAAGGCAAAGTAAAAAGATGTGATTTTTTTTTTACATCTAATACATTTAATAGAGAACTATAAGGTCAAGTGTGCTTTAAAAATACTTGGTAATGGTAACTCATGGTAATATGGCTTCTACCTTCATCACTCTAGGAAATCTGTTGTCTCCAAGCTTCATGTTGACTCTCATAATTGACAGACATAATGGAGCTTTCAGACCTCTCTGAGCATTTAAAAATGATGACCACTCACTTTTTCTAGAGAAAAATCAAGCAGATGAATTCCTTCTTTCCTCCCTTAGCTTCCATGACAACTCTCATAATTTTCCTTCTTTTTTTCTTGGCCACTCTTTTTCAGTCCTCTTCATGGATTCCCCTTCCTTTGCCTGCTCCCTAAATGCTGATGTTCCTTGGGGTGTGTTCTTGTCCTTCTTCTCTTATTCTACACATTCTACAGGGGAAATTTCACTACTACCCTGGCTTCCTCCACTCCTTCTTCTAATAGTTCCACCACTACGTCACTAGTTCTTCTCAAAAGAACTGCGTATTTTAGGTTTCTTGTTATCACCCATACTTGGCTTTTTTTCTCTTTCTCTTTTGAGCTCCAGAAAAGCAGTAATTAGCTTTAACAAATATGCACGTGGTAGGCAGGATAATGGCTCCCTGCCAAGATATCCATGTGCTAATCCCCAGAATCTGTGAATCTGTTACCTTACATGGTAAAAGGGACTTTGCCGATGTGATTAAATTCAGACCTTGCAATGGAGAGATTATTCTGGATTATCTAAGTGGACCCAATGTAATCACGTGTATCCTCAAAATTGGAGAACTTTTTCTGCCTGTGAGCAGAGGGAGATATGACTACAGAAGAATGGTCAGAGAGATGCAACATTGCTAGCTTTGAAGATGAAGGAAAGGGCCATAAGCCAAAGCATGCGGGTGGCTTCTAGAAGCTGGAAACAGCAAGGCAACAGATTCTCCCCTAGAGCCTCCAGAAGGAATGCAGTCCTGCTGACCGTTTGATTTTAGCCTGGTGAGACCCATATTGGCCTTCTAACCTACAAAACTGTAAAATAATAAATTTGTGTTGTTTTAAGCAAGTAAGTTTGTGGTAACTTTTTAATAACAGCAGTAGAAAATGAATACGATGTAATATAGTGATATCCCTAGGAAAATAATTTATGGTTTATTTTCATTCAACATGTTAGTATGAAAATTTTTAAAACCATGGAAAAATTGAAGGAATTATAAAATGAATACCCATATACCCAGCACTTATATTCTACAAGTAACTTTTTGCTATATTACTTTCTCACGTATCTGTCCATCTATCCATCCGTCTATGTTATTTTTTGATGCATTTCAAAGTAAGCTACACATATCAGTACCCCTTCATAATAGTTTATTTCTAAATCTTTGTTTTCTTAGCACTGTATGCACAGATTAAATATTTGTCTATCAAAGGAGCATTAACTTACCACAGTGAGGACCACTTGTCCTGGATGAGATACCACCCACACGGGAAAACTTTGGTAGTTCCAGTCTTCAACCCCTTGACTTATAAATCTATAAACAAAAAACTTTATTTATATTATTTATATCTAATCATTGATTGTTGCCATTTAGTGATCAAGCATGACAAGATCACAGGGGAATTTTCCTTTAGGATCACTGAATTTTTTGTTCTAATTTAGGTATATGAATGGGACCGAATAGATAAGAGAGCCTTAACTTGTGCATAATGCATATTCCTGAAATTCTTCTAAGTAAAAGAAACTATTTTTGCAAACTGAATGTGTTATTAAGATAATAACTGCACCATTTTGGCTGAACTACAGAATGGTCGTGTGTGAAAATAAAAATGATGGTTTTTCCCAAAACTCAGCATAAAGGGGCAAATCTTGCTTTGCTGTGTCCACCAATCTTATACTATTATATCCTCATCTTTACCCAATCCTACTCAAACCTCCACATTGAAAAACCTGCCTTAAACCAGACTTCAAAATCTCAGTAAATATTCTAATTTTATCCTTCCTCCTCTGAGGCACTCTTAAGAGTCTCAGTATTGTTGTTCTTTACTCGATAAACTCAGCTGTGTCTTATCAACAGATTGTTTGGTGATATTTTGGGGAGCTAGCATTCAACAAATTGCATTTGAACTTAGAATTGATTCTTTTCTCAGCCAAACTAGCATGCAAGTATGAGGGCAAAATAAAAATGTTTGCCACTCACAGATGCTTTCTGAAAAAATTACTTGGAGATAAATACAGCAAAATGAAAATAAATTTTAAATGTGAGACCTAGGAAACAGTAATGAACAAAAACAAAACAAACCCAAAAACTTATTCAGCCTAGGTAATTAATGATCCATAAATAGAGAACTAATAGCAATTTGGAATAAAATCCTAAACGATTACAATATGGAGGAGGTGATGGGAGGGAATTATGAAGTGACACATGTTCTTTGAGGGCAAATTAAAGATATGTATTATAGGCTTTGATAAAAATATGTTTCACTGTTTATTAACATTTTAAGAGTATTCACTAGGAAAAAGAAAATGTTTATGACTTAGAGCTACACCAAAAGAGACAAACTCTAACAATAGTTAGGTGAAAGAAAAACCCCAAACCAAAAGCCCAGTCATTGGGAAACATATAGTACAAATGGCAGGCGTGAGTCCAAATGTGATGGGAATCAAAGCAAATGTTGAAAGGCAATATATAAGTCAGCAGGAAACAGCACATTCAAGGGTTACATGAGGAGAGTTTAATGAAGGGACTTGGCAGAGATGAGGGCAGGGTTGAGGGACCCACAGGGATGACGAAGCACCAGGGTCTAGCACCAGGGGGCAGCTGTTACCACCTCTAGGCCTGAAGGGGCAAGGGGTGCAACGTTACTGGAACCTGGTGAGGGCTGGAGACTTTGGAGAGGGGCCACCTGTCAAAGCTGTGGCTTTGGGTAAAGGAACACAGATTCCGCCAAAACTGTAGTGAGATGGAGAGGGAGCCTCACATCTGCCCTACGCAAGTGGAAGACAGAGGGCAAAGGAATCCAGGTTGTACAGTCCATGATGGTGAGTGTCCCAAGTACACACAGCAAAACAGAAAAGGGTAGAGAATGGATCTTCTGGGAAAACAGACCAACCAGCACTGACAACACTTCGATATTGGTAAAAAATAAAATAAAAGCAAAAATTAAAATCCATTTTTATACTTGATTCAAGAAATATTAACGTGGCACAGGAATGTTAAAAATACATTATAATGCACATGTTTGTGATCATGGAAACAGGCATGACATTATTAGTAATAAACAAAAGAGCAGTTAAGTAAAAAATATTAACTAATATAAATACTGATATATTGACTAAAGGTACACTCTACTAAGAAGGTTTATGTATAACAACATAGCATCAAAATATATGATAGATGTTAGAAATAAAAAAGAAATTGACAAATCCATAAAAAAGTAGGCAATGTTTAATATAGTTTTCTAGGAAATTAAGTAGACCAAAAAATGAAGAAAATCAAGGAAAGTTCAACATAAGGAAATTTACTAATGTAATTCATGATGTCCATAAATTAAGGTGAAAGTGTATTTGAGTTTCTCAATAGATTCATTAAAACCATTTGATATAATTAAACATCCTTTGATTATTAAAAAGTTTGCAAATTAGGAATAGAATAAAACTCTTTAGTTTGATAAGGGATATATTCCAGAAACCTAAGCATCATAACAAATGGTGAAACATTAGAAGCTTTCCCAGTGAAATTAGGAACAAAAGGAGGATCCTCACTGTCATCTGTACTCTTCGACATTGTACAACACTTGTCATCCAAAACAACATGAAAATGACATTTTAAAAAGAATTGTAAAGAAAGAGACAGGACTGTCATTATTAGCAAATGATAAGATTGTCTAACCAGAAAAATCCCTGAGCAACAATTGAAAATCTGCTTGTCTCTTAAATACTCAGATGCAATTTTTCAGGATTCTTTGCCTACAGATATACCCTTCCTCACAAGTAAGGTGACATCTAGTTCTTATCACATCACCCCCCGGTAAGAACTGGGGCAAAGGAAAGCCACTCTGGTTATTTATGTAAGTAAAGAATAATCTGCTTTGCTCCACAAACCTTGTGTTGGCATTCAGGTAATATTTATAAATATTGATATTAAAACTTAAAGACCACTAGCCTTTCTATAATCAATAATAAACAATTAGAAATGTAAAAGACTGTTCTAGTCAAATTAGTTTTAAAAAGTCGACACTCTGAGGCTCTTTCTGCACTCTAAACACAAGGCAATGACAGATTAAAATATAAAAAGGAGAACAATGGGTCCGGCCTGGTGGCATAGCGGTTAAGTGTGCGCGCTCCGCTGTGGTGGCCTGAGGGTTTGCGGGTTCGGATTCCGGGCGTGCACCGATGCACCGCTTGTCAAGCCATGCTGTGGCGGCGGCCCATATAAAGTAGAGGAAGATGGGCATGGATGTTAGCCCAGGGCCAATCTTCCTCAGCAAAAAGAGGAAGACTGGCAGATGTTAGCACAGGGCTGATCTTCCTCACAAAAAAAAAAAAAAGGAGAACATTAAAAAGACTGAACCAAGTACACAATTCCAGGAAGCAAAAATGGGACAGAAAGGCAAATAGTGAGGTGGGCTGTGACCAGAGGCCTACCGAGCACTGGGTGTTTTGAAAGCAGGCAGAGATGGACATGCGTTCAGATCCTGGCCAGTTTTCAGATACTCAGGAATCCAAACTAAACAAAAACTGCCTGAATGTTGTCCATGATTACACTCTCAAACTGACATCTACACTGTAAAAATTATTTTCCATTTAATCATGTGCCATCGTGTTCGATCAAAACCCACTTCATAAATGACTTTTCTCCATATATTTCTCTGGATACTTTTCACTTGGATTAGTAGATAATTAACTGTTTAAATATATATATATAGTATCATTTTAGGATTTGAAAATTGTACTTACTTTTTTAGCACATCAAACATGCTTTTCTCTACATTTACCAGCCACTGTTCTACGGCATTTCTTATACGAATTTTCCTGTAAAATATGATGAAGAATTATTTTTATTCATGTTTCATTCCTTTGATAAGCCTATAGACTAAGTTTTCTACACCTTTAATATTCATTAGCCAAAGGACTATAATTCTATAATATCTTTTGGTTTTTCTAGATCTTAATTTGGAAAACTATGCAGAAAATGTATCACATAGCTTTAGGAAATTCTGACATCAAAACCATGAATTTACAAAATTATTCACAATATTATAAGAGGTTCCAGTAAAATATGAATTTAAAAATAGATAAATTATTTTACGAAGCATTTTGGGATTCCTCATTGGATCTTCTATTAAATAGCAAGCCTAGGTCAGGGTTGGGTTAGGGTTTTGGTGGATGGGAAGACTTGGAGGCAGCATCTTTTAATCAACTTACATCGGGAACCACGTGCCAAAGGTTAGTGAGCCCTTGCTGTGGCTGGCAAATTGGACCAGTATAATGGAAGGACCTAGCTTATTATAATTGCCTGGGAGCCATTCATGACAAAACCAGAGGTCCGTGGAGGCAGCAGTGGGAGCAGCATCGACAACCCCAATCAAATAGCAAATTTCCTTCCTATCTGTGTCCACGTAATAAGACCTTCTGTTGGCATTCAGGATAATATTAACTAAAGATATGGAAAGGTAAAATTCTACAAAAGTGCATTATCATTGAAGAAGTAGTTTGCTTAGCAAACATCCATGAAATACCAGAGATTTCCAAGCAGAGGTTTTAAATAATGAAGTTTTACGGAGTCTCAACACTTAGTTTGTAACATATATATCGTACTTGGGCAGCGCAAGGGCTTCTCCTTCAGCAGATATGAGCATTATCACAGCGGGAGGGCCAATGTCTTGTTTCCATATCAATAATTGTTTTATATTTTCAAAGCATTTCATAAGATGAGGCTGTGGACCAGAAACAAATGTCAATAACATTATAAAATTCTGACCTGGTCGGGAAATAATATTGCTGAGCAGAGAATAATGATATTACCTGTACAGACTCGGTGTTTCTGCTATTAGCTAGAATATCAAGAAGTTCAGCATTGCTAAGAAAGTAAAATCTTGGGAAAATCATTCTTTTAATTTCAAGGTAGTCCTGTCCAGAACCAAAAGAAATGCAATTCAGAATATATATTTAATCATGATATGAGTCACATCCTCATTTGGATCTACATTTACACACAAAAGCAACAATATTAGAGTTACAGTATACATAGCACTATCAGTCAAAATAACATCCCATGCTCAAAGAAAGCTATACTTAAATTGCAAAAAAAAATTTGAATGAAGCAAAACTAAAACAAATGAAAACCAAAACAAACCAAAAAATCTCCCCTTACACACACATGCACACAGGCGCACACACAGAACCACACATACCATTGTGTTATTGATCATTAATAAAGCACTGTATTTTGGTATTATTAACATTGCTTTCCCATGCTGCCAACTTTCTGCTCTTGTTTCTCTATCCTCTTAGGGAATAATCTGTCACTTCAGCAGGTCACCTCATATTCTACCCTACAGAGAATGCCTATATTTCCATCCTTCCTCACAACTTAGCTGCGTTCACACCAGGCTTAACTCTTTTCCTTCTTTTCAGAGGAAGAGATACCCATTCACTTATGCCAGGCTAAGCCATCCTTGTTTTATTTATTACTCGCCTGTATCTTCAATCTCTCCTTTGCAATAGGCTTCCCTCTTAAATTTCTTTCGTTAAAAAATATATAAGAAACCTTCTGTCTCTTTTTGTTGTCCTCTAGCTACTTACCCACCTTCTCTCCACAAAGTTCTTGAAAAGATAGTCTATAAACTCAAAATCTTGATGTACTCATCTCTCAGTAAATAAATAGCTCTGCCCTCTGACCCCCACTGTTACCAAGTTTACTGGAGCATTTCAGTCCTCCTGTTACATGATATTTCCACAGCATTTGTCTCTGTTGACTCTGTCCTTCATTTTGACTTTTGTGGTTTCATTCTCCTGTTTTTCTTCATCCCTCAGCCACTTATTATCTTTTGCCTTCAGGACCCTCCTTCATCACCTATACGTTATTGTTGACACCTCTTGAGTTCCATCCCCATCACTTTTCCTACCCATTATGTTCTTCTTGAGCTATGTGATACATACCACTTGCTCTTTGGCTCAGATCCCTTCCCTCTGCCCCAGATCTATATACCCAATTGCTGAGTGAAGATGTTCATTTGATGTCCTAAGTATTAGATTTTCAATATGTACAAATCTTCCTTGTTTCCACACAGGCCCCCTCCTCCTCTAGTTCCTATCTTGGTAGTATATCATCTTCCACTCTGTTGGCCAAGCCAGAAATCCAGGCACAATCCTGGACCTCTCTCTTTTATCCTCTACTTACCTATCTGAAGCTCCTGGCTCCAACTTTCATCCTCACCATGATCTTACTTTAGTCCCACACTATTTCTAGTCTTTTGACCAGTTTCTTTGTATCTGTTATCACTGCCCTCACTCTATATACTCTATGCTTCCCTCCAGGGAGGTATTTCTAAATTAAATCATTTCACTCTCCTGCTTAAACTCCTTCAGTGGTTACAAAATAAAGTCAAAATTCATTGTGATACTCAAGGCCCTTCATCATCTGTCCTGTGTCCCTGGAGAATCTCTTCTTTCACCACTTTCCCATTTGCAATCAATGTTCCATCTGTACCATCTTGTTTACAACTCCACGATGTGCCACACTTGCTCGTGGCTCCATATCTGTACTTTTTTCCTTGCCTAGGATGCTCTTCCCACACACCCGCCCACCCTCTGACTCGTTTACCTGGCTAACTCATACACTTTCAATTATCACTTTCCCTAGACTGGATTAATTTCTCTTCTTTGATATGGTCATACTATCCAATCCATCACAGCATACATCACATTGTAGTATCTCTTTATTTTTTTTGTTTCCTGTAATAGATTTTGAGTTCTGTAATAGTAGGGAATATGTCTTCTATCTCTGGAGTCCCAGCATCTGCAGCAATGCCTGGTATAAAGTAGGCGCTCAATACATGAATAAATGGAAAATTACTGGTTGGTAATGATGTTTAGTAATAGTCCAAAGATATGCCAGAAATAATTAGAAAGCTTATCTCAATGATCTGGAAGTATACTGGCTATTATTAACGAGATCACTCTGGGTGCAGCCCCTCATGACTGCCCTAGATCATGGATTTATATAGCAGAAGGTCTTCCTGGGCAGAGAACTTTCTATAGGCTGTAACTGCCATATGAAGATATTCTGGAGCAGTCATCACAACACTGAGACTTGTGTTCAACAGGCAAAAGAGATGAATGCCTGGAAAAAAATCTTGGTTTATGAAGTGAAGTGAATATGTTCACCATGAATCTCAAATATTAAAACCCAGTATTAAAAGATGTGTATATGGAACAACAAAAGACCCCGAATAGCTAAAGGAATCCTGAGAAAAAAGAACAAAGCTGGAGGTATCACACTCCCTGATTTCAAAATATACTACAAAGCTATAGTAACCAAAACAGCATGGTACTGGCACAAAAACAGACACACAGATCAATGGAATAGAATCGAAAGCCCAGAAATAAACCCACACATCTATGGACAGCTAATCTTTGACAAAGGAGCCAAGAACATACAATGGGGAAAAGAAAGTCTCTTCAACAAATGGTGTTGGGAAAACTGGATAGCCACATGCAAAAAAATGAAAGTAGACCCTTACCTTACACCATGCACAAAAATTAACTCCAAATGGATTAAAGACTTGAATGTAAGACCTGAAACTATGAAACTTCTAGAAGAAAACATAGGCAGTACGCTCTTCCACATCGGTCTTAGCAACATCTTTTCAAACACCACATCTGACCGGGCAAGAGAAACAATAGAAAAAATAAACAAATGGGACTCCATCAAACTAAAAAGCTTCTGCACAGCAAAGGAAACCATCAACAAAACGAAAAGACAACCTAACAATTGGGAGAAGATATTTGCAAACCATACATCTGATAAGGGCTTAATCTCCAAAATATATAAAGAACTCATGCATCTCAACAACAAAAAAACTACCAACCCAATTAAAAAATGGGCAAAAGACCTGAACAGACATTTCTCCAAAGAAAATATACAGATGGCCAACAGACACATGAAAAGATGTTCAAAATCACTAACTATCAGGGAAATGCAAATCAAAACTACAATGAGATATCACCTCATGCCCGACAGAGTGGCTATAATTAACAAGACAGGAAACAACATGCGTTGGAGAGGATGTGGAGAAAAGGGAACTCTCATACACTGCTGGTGGGAGTAACTGGTGCAGCCACTATGGAAAACAGTATGGAGATTCCTATTTATCCAAAGAACTTGAAAACACCAATTTGCAAAGGTACATGCGCCCCTGTGTTCATTGCAGCGTTATTCACAATAGCCAAGACTTGGAAGCAACCTAAGTGCCCATCAAGGGACGAATGGATAAAGAAGCTGTGGTATATATACACAATGGAATACTACTCAGCCATAAGAAACGATGAAATCCAGCCATTTGTGACAACATGGATGGACATTGAGGGTATAATGCAAAGTGAAATAAGTCAGAGGGAGAAGGTCAAATACCGTATGATTTCCTTCATTAAGTAGTAGATAATAGCAACAATAAACAAACACATAGGGACAGAGATTGGATTGGTGGTTACCAGAGGGGAAGGGGGGAGGGAGGAGGGTGAAAGGGATAATTCGGTACATGTGTGGTGATGGGTTGTAATTAGTATTTTGGTGGTGAACATGATGTAGTCCATGCAGAAATTGAAGTACAATGATGTACACCTGAAATTTTTACGATGTTATAAACCAATGTTACTGCAATAAACAAAAAATTTATTTAAAAAAAAAAAGTAAAAAAAAAAAAAAAAGATGTGTATATCTAGCTGACTAGTTCTGGTAATGTATAAATACATGGAATCAATAATTTAATTTATAAAATCATCAAAACATTCAATTTTGCTGATTTTTATCAACTTCATAATAATAGTAGTGCTAATATAAATAACATTCATTTAGTACTTTGTGACAGCTCTTGTGTTTTAACTGCTTTAACTGCATTATCTCATTCAGGACAAAGCCGCTCAAGGTAGGCACTATTCCAATTTAAATTAAATTTAATTTAAATTAAATTTATTCCCAATTTAAAGGTAAAGAAATCTAGGCACTTAAAAAGTTTGGCACTTTGCCTAAGATCATTTAGATTGCTACAACTACTTTTTTTTTTCCTTTTGATAGCATTTTCTTTAACCCTACAGATGGTGAGAGTTTGAAATATTGTTGGCAGCTAGAGTAAAGAAGAAAATCTGCATTGGAATTAGTTTCGGAGGTGCATTTTACATTACATTTTGTAGATTAAAAGATTCTCCATTTTAGGATTGCTATAGTTTTTACCTCAAGACTTTTCTTTATGTAGTCAAGATATGTATTACAATTTTGCAGAATTTCAAGGACTCTCGCAGAGGTGGTTATTTGCAAGACATTCAGTTTGTTTTGTACTTTTAACATTATTTCTTTCCACATGGAAATCACTTGAGAGAAGAGTTTTGCTTCTGCTGGGAGCTGCCTTTAGAAAGAAAATTAGACATAATTTTATATTTTGAAGGTACTATAATTAAAATCTATAATCCAAAAGCATTTGCCACAGAATACTGTTCAATTTACAAAATGTTTTGATATGCTTTATTTTTACTGATCAATCATTAATTAAAGATATTTTTCGAGAGTCTGTAATGTACAAGTGATATACATGGTAGGAAATACTAGGATACATTAGATATACATCCATCATCTAACAAGATTATACTTAGTGAGAGGTATAAGACAGATGTATACAAGTTCTACATAAAGTAGGTAGAAGTGATTCGTGTCCTAGGAAGTGTAATAAAACAAAGGGCTACTGAATTTCTAGAGAGGAAATGGCATTTAGGGAGAGCTTCGTGAAGAAGCTATTTGATCTGGGTTTTAAAGGAGCAACAGTGCTTTCACATCAAGAATATTGCAGATAGGGCATTGGGCCTAGGAGCAAGAGAATAGAGCAAGTGTATAAGGAAATCCAAGTTCTATTAGAAATTATCTAATCTTAAAGGATAAAGGAATATAAAGCAGATTCAGCATAGATATAGAAATTTTCCTTGAAAGAATATTATCATCATTTTCCCCCTTGGAAAAGGGAAGCAAAACCCACCCATGGCATGGTAATCCACTGATACATTAATCTGAGTTTTGTTGCTGCTACTGTTGGAATTGAATGAGGGAAGGATTTTCAAAGATTGTGTGGTCTAGTTCTTTTACTTTCTCTGCTCACCTACATTTCCCACTCCCGTCCCACGCTAGCCCCAACCTGATTCAGGCTCCTCAGGGCTTGGAGCTTGAGGTAGAGAAGAAATTAGAGAAAAAGCCTTTTTTTAAAAAAAAAAATTCAGCTGGTGTTATTTTTTTCTCTTTTGCCTCTTAAATGGCCCCGTAGGGCAGTTATCCAAGGAGTATGTAGCTGGGGTCTTGAGAGTGCCCCCAGCAGGAGCTTCTACATTGCAGCATTCCCTGGCTCTCTTCAGCTGACCTCTTACTTATAGTCATTCCTCATTCTTGCTTTAAGCAGTATACCTCTGGGATTCCCTTGTTCTGGCCCCAACCATTTTGAGTGGAGATCTTTCAAGATGGAAATTTCTACCGTGTCTCCTTGGTCTGAGTCAGGATTTCTCAACTTGAACACTATTGACATTTTGGGCCAGATAATTCTTTGTTGGGGGGTGGAGTGCTTTCCTGTGCATTGTAGGATGTTTAATATCCTCTGTTCACTAGATAGTAGTAGAACCCCACCCCCCAACCCCTGTTGTGACAATCAAAAATGTCTTCAGATATTGCTCAATATCCCCTAGAGGGCAAAAATCACCTCTGATTGAAACCAGTGGTCTAAGATAACCATGTATTCTTGTACTTCTTTGCTCTACTATTAAAGGCTGCTTCAAAATTCTCCAGAGAAGACGCAAGTCCTAGTTCCTAATGCCCCCAAATTCAGGGCAATATATGTCAAGCTTGTCTAAGAGCCCTCCCACCATTATCCCATTCTCCACCTCGGGTGATGGGCCTACCAATTTCTACAGCTCAGCAAAAATCTTATCAGGGAGACTTCAATCTCCCCTTCTGTTCAGCACCCTCCCAATGTCTTTAGGAGTTCTAGTGCAACTCATAGTTAGTTTGGAGTGAGGGTAAATGGCACAGCATCCTCTACTCTCACAAATTCCCTTTAAATTCCCTTTCCTCTAATGAATCTCTCTTTCCTTTTCTCTTTTTCACCCTTGTATCAGGGCCCATCATCCTTCTCCATTAGTCCACTATATGGAGGCAGGTCCAATATAGACCCATTTTTTCTTTTGCTTACAACTATATACAGGAGCTGTCAGCATCCCTTAATTAAAAGCCCCCTTTTCAACCTCATAGCAAGTCCTGTCAAAGAACAACTTGATGACATTTTGAACTCCCCTACCTGGGAGTCTTACCTCTCTATCAATTAAGAAATCTTCAGTAACAAGTAGCATTAAAGTTTGAATTTAAGGCACCAAGTTGTAACCACAAAGAATATATTCCTTAGGTATGTGATTTCACCTTTGAGGACTATCAGAATAACTATAGATTAATAGAAAAATCTAAAGCATTCATATGACAAGCATATACATGTATAACAAAAATGGATATTGTTTCCTATAAAGCAATACTCACATCTAAGCAGTTCTATTTTGTAAACCTCTAATAGCTCCCCTTTGCCCCTAAAATAAAGTTCAAAATACTTAACCTGATATTCAAGGTCTTCTATTGTCTGCGTATTATGCCTTACAAATACACACCCCATGACTTCCTACCTTATTTCAAAATGGCTCCTAGACTAGCTTGTGTGATTTACTGTCAGTAGTTTAAATCCTGCCTAGATAATATATATGTCTCAATTTAAGCACTCTTAAGACCAATTGCTTTAGAAAGAGACCAATTAATTTGAATGCTATGAATAAAAAGGTAAAAATTGCAACAATTGTCTAGGACCTCTATTCTTTCACATGATCCAAAGTAGGACACTATCATTAATGTATGAATGCTATTAAAAACATGTTTATTGTTCACATCAAAACCACACTAACGTTCCAGAACTAAATAAACATGTAGTATTGTGGTTTATGGATTATAATTACTTATCTGATAGTTCTTTCAGTCCTTAATAGCTTAATATCAGCAATTGAGAAATAAAGCTTCTTTTTTTTTAAAAAAAAGATGATGCTTGTAATCTTTTATGAAAGAAAAAAAAACCATAATAATGATTCAGCAGATTATACACCTATGCCTATAGGTAGGATTGTTTTAGAGTGTTCATTGAAGAAATGATCTCTCAAGGATTACAGGAAATAAATTACCCACCATGCATTTTTTTACCTGTGTATGGCCTATTTTATGTTTTTTACCTTTGTATTTCTAGAGAATGAAAAATTGGTTCAAGATAAAGCCAATTTCTTTGACAATTCATCCATTCTTCAAGAGTGTAAGAGAAGAGAGTCAAGTTTTTATCCCATTTATCCACAAGATCCTACAATGATAAAATCACACATACATACAAATCCAAATATATAAAATGACTCTATAAGAGTCATATAATAGAAACTGAGATCAAAGGTGATTATCAGTCACTGACATACAGAAAATAATAAATAGAGGGTCACATAAATGAATATAAATCTAATTATATTTAGTTTTGAGAGAGGTTTGAGATGTCTTGTTCATCCAATTTTCTGTCTTATTATAAAATATACAAACACTTTTTGTATGTATATTCTTTCCTTTCTTTAAACACTTTTGCACATATGTACATGTAATATCTTTAATAGTTTACATAAATGGCAACCATATGATACACATTGTTCTGTAACTTGCTTTTATTTTTAACCTAATAATGTCTTTTAGTGAGGGTTTATGTTAGTACTTATAGATTTTCTTCATTCTTTTAATTTCAGAAAATTCCATTGTGTACATATAACATCTTCTTCCAACTAGTATATTTATGAAAGTAAAAGGAAAATGGTTAAAAATCAATTAATACTAAAATGCTTATTTAAAATACCATGGACTACTACTCAGCCATAAAAAAAGACAAAATCGTCCCAGTTGCAACAACATGGATGGACCTGGAGGGTATTGTGTTAAGTGAAATAAGCCAGAAAGAGAAAGACAAACAGCGCATGATTTCACTCATATGTGGAAGATAAACCAACACAGGGACAGATAGAACTGTTTGGTGGTTACCAGGGGCTGGGTGAGTGGGGGGTGGGCACAAGGGGTGGAGGAATGCACTTATATGGTGACTGACAAACAATAATGTACAACAAAAATCTCACAATAAAAAAAATTCTGTATTATAAAAAAATAAATAAATAAATAAATAAATGACCTTCAGTTTCCATAAATAAATTTACATAAAAAGCTGGCAAACATACTTAAGAAAAAAAAAAAAAAAAAAACCAGTAGACTGGTGCATTGCCTAGCTCTGGCTCCTAGAGGGAACCACTTGTAACTCATTTATATTTCTCTTCTGGTATTTACCTACATATTTCTTTCTTTTTAAATCTATTTTATATTTCAATAGCTTTATTAAGGTATAAATTGACACAAATAAACTGCACATAAAGTGTACCATTTGATGTTTTGATATATGCTTATATCTGTGAAACAATCACCACAATCAAGATAATGAACATATCCATTACTCTGAAAGGCTTTCTTGTGCCCTGTTGTAATCCCTTCCTCCTACACCTACCTCTCTCATCCCTAGGCAATCACTGATCTACTTTCTCAAACTGTAGACTAATTTGCATTTTCTAGAATTTTATCTAAGTGGAATTATATAATATGTATTCTTTTTGGTCTGACTTCTTTCACTCAGCATTATTATTTTGAGATGCATTCATGTTGTTGCATATATCAATAGTTCATTTCTTTTTTATTGCTGAGTAGTATTCCATTGTACAGCTATACCATATATTTATCATTCATGAGGTGTACACCAGGGTTGCTTCCTATTTTTTGCTATTACAAATAAAACTGCTATGAATATTCAGGTGCAAGTCTTTGTACAGACATAACCTTTCCTTTCTCTTGGGTGAATACGTAGGAGTGGAATGGCTGGATCATGTGGTAGGTGTGTTTTTAACTTTTTAAGAAACTTTGTGATTCTAACATTTTACATTCCATACAGCACTGTATGAAAGTTTTAGTTCCTCCACATCCTCACCCAAACTTGAGATGATCAGTCTTTTTAATTTTAGTCGTTCACTATGGTGGGCAGTGGTATCTCATTGGGATGTTAGCATTTCCCTAATGAGTAATGAAATTAAGCATCTCTGCATGTGTTTTTTTTCCATCCACGTTATCTTCTTTAGTGAAGTGTCTGTTTAAATATTTTGCCCATTTCTTTATTGTTTTGTATTTTGAGAGTTCTTTATATATTCTGGATACAAGTGCTTTATCAAATGTATGCTTTGCAAATATTTTCTCCCAGTCTGTGGCTTATGTATTTTTTTCCTTAACAGTGCTCTTTTGAAGAGCACAAATTTTAAATTTTGATGAAATCCAATTGATAGATTTTTCCTTCTACTGATCATTCTTTTGGTGTCATATTGAAGAAAGTTGCCATTTTCTGTGATGTTTTCTTCTCGAAATTTTACAGTTTTAGGTTTTGCATTTAGGTCTATGATAAATTTTTGAGTTAAATTTTTATATGCTGCAAGATATGGCTTCAAATTTTTTTTTAATCTTTTTGTTTTGTGTATGACTGTCCAGTTGTGCCAGCACCATTTCTGAACAGACTATTATTTCTTCTCAGAATTGTTTTTACACTTTTGTTGAAAATCACTTGTCCATACATATGTGGGTTTATTTTTGTACTCTCTATTCTGTTCCATTTTTCTCTTTGTCTGTCTTTAACCAATATAAAACTGTTTTGATAACTGTAGCTTTATAGTAGGGCTTGAAATCAGGTAGCTATTCTAGTTCCTTTACATTTTTATAAGAATTTTAGAATCAGCTTGTCAATTTCTACCACTAATTGGCTAGAATTTTGATTGGTATTGCATCATATCTAGATCCTTTTGGGGATATTTAAACATTTTATTTATATTGAGTCTTCAAATGCATGAACACAGTATATCTTCCATTTATTTAGGTCTTTAATTTCTCTCTGCAGGCTTTTGTAGTTTTTAGTGTAGAGGTCTTACACATCTTTTGTCAGATTTATCCCTAAATATCTCATATTTTTTATTATGCTATTGTCATTGGCATTTTTTAATTTAAATTTTCAATTGTTCATTGCTGGTACATAGAGTGCAGTTGATTTTTGTGTACTAATCTTGTATTCTGAAAACTTGCTAATATGAGTTTTATTTACTCTTTTTGTAACTTTATTGGATTTTTTTGCATAGGCAACTGTGTCATCTGAATATAAAGAATATTTTACCGCTTGTTTTCCAATATAGATGCTTTTTGTTTCTTTTTCTTGCCTTAATACATTGGCTAGAGCCTCCAGTACCATGTAGAATAGAAGTGGTGAGAGAAGACCTCCTTGTTCCTGATCTTAGGGGAAGGTGTTCAGTTTTTCATCATTAAGTATGATGTTAGACATAGGTTTTTCATAGATGTCCCTTATCTGGTTAAGGATGTTCTCTTCTGGTCCTAGTTTGTTGAGAGGTTGTTTTTGTTTTTGGTTTTTTGAGTCAGAAATGGATGTTGGATTTTGTAAAATGCTTTTTCAGCATTTACTGAGAAGATCATACGGTTTTTCTTTTTTAGTTTGATATGGTGAATTACATTGATTGATTTTTGAATGTTAAACCAACCTTGTATTTCTTAGATTAGTCCCTCTTGATTATAATACATCATCCTCTTTATATATATTGGTGGATTTTATTTGGAAATTTCTGTTTAGAATTTTTGCATCTACATTCAAGAGGTCTCTAGTTTTTTCATAATGTCATTGTCTGGTTTTGGTATCAGAGTAATTCTGGCCTGAAAGAGTAAGTTAAGAAGGATTCCTTCCTCTATAGGTTTCTGGAAGAGTCTGTGTAGAATTGGTATTATGTCTCCCTTAAATAAGCCATCTGGACCTGGACTTTTCCTTGTGGGACGATTTTAAGCCATCATTTCAATATCTTTAATACATATAGGGCTATTCCAGTTATCAATTTCTTCTTGAGTGAGCTTTAGTAATTTGTGTTTTTCAAGGAATTTGTCCATTTCATCTTTGTTGAATTGACTTAATGTTGTTCATAATATTCCCTTGTTATCCTTTTAATATCTGTAGATTCTGTAGTGATGTCACCTCTTACATTCCTGATGTTGGTAATTTGCATCTTCTGTCTTCCACTGGTTTTGAATAAGTGATTATGATGTTTCCTGAGCTTGGAGTGTATTGAGCTTCTTGAATCTGTTGCTTTATTGTTTTCAATACATTTAGAACAGATTGCGTATTATTTCTTCAAATTTTTCTTTCTTCTGTTTTTCCCTCTCACTCTTCATCTTGGAGGACTCCAATTACATGTCTATTATATTCCCCGAAGTTTTCCCACAGGTCACTGATGTTTTTTTTCATTTTCAAGACTTCTCTTTTTTCCCTGTATTTCACTTTGTATGGTTTCTAATGTTATATTTTTAAATTCACTAATCTTTGCTCTCGCAATGTCTATCTGCTGTTAATCCCATCCAGTGTATATTTCATGTCAGATATTATAGTTTTCATCTCTAGAAGTTTGATTTTGGTCTTTTTAAAAAAATATCTTCCACATATCTACTTTTTTTTTTTTCCTTTTTTGGTGAGGAGATCAGCCCTGTGCTAACATCTGCCAATCCTCCTCCTTTTTTACTGAGGAAGACTGGCCCTGGGCTAACATCCATGCCCATCTTCCTCCACTTTATATGGGACGCCACCACAGCATGGCTTGCCAAGCAGTGCGTCGGTGCGTGCCCGGGATCCGAACCGGCGAACCCTGGGCCGCCACAGCAGAGCGCATGCACTTAACCGCTTGTGCCACCGGGCTGGCCCCTCTACTTAACTTTTAAACATATGGAATATAGTTATAATAATTGTTTTAATGTCTTTGTCTCTAATTCTAACATCTGTGTCAGTTCTGGATAGGTTTCCGTTGGTTAATTTCTCTTTTCATTATGAGTTATATTTTCTTGCTTCTTTGAATGTCTGATAATCTTTAATTAGATTCTAGAAGTTCTGAATTTTACCCTGTTGGGTACTGGATATTTTTGTATTCCTGTAAATATTCTTGAGCTTTGTTCTAAGTGCAATTAAATTACTTAGAAACAGTGTCATCATTTTTGGTTTTGCTCTTAAGGTTTGTTAGAGAGGATAAGAGCAGCAAGTAGTCTAGGGCTAATTATTCTATATTACTGTGGCAAGATCCTTTTAAGAGCTCTGTCTGATGCTCATGAATGTTACAATTTTCTGTTGTGGCTGATGGATATGGGCACTATTCACAGCCCTGTGTGAATGGTTCCCTTTATCTCCGCAAGCAGTCATTTCCTTGGTTT